AGGAAGAGGAGAGGAGGAGGAGGAGGAGGAGGAGGAGAAGGAGGAGAAGGAGAGGAGGAGGAGGAGGAGGAGGAGGAGGAGGAGGAGGAGGAGGAGGGAGGAGAGGAGGAGGAGGAGGAGGAGGAGGAGGAGGAGGAGGAGGAGGCGGAGGAGGAGGAGAGGAGGAGGAGGAGGAGGAGGAGGAGAGGAGGGGAGGAGGAGGAGGAGGAGAAGGGAGGAGAGGGAGGAGGAGGGGAGGAGGAGGAGGAGGAGGGAGGAGGAGGAGGAGGAGGAGAGGAGGAGGAGGAGGAGGAGGAGGAGGAGGAGGAGGAGGAGGAGAGGGAGGAGGAGGAGGAGGGAGGAGGAGGAGGGGGAGGAGGAGGTTCCTGAGGGGTCCAAGATCAAGGAGCGCGAGCCACCACGCCCAACGGAGCCAGGAGTCTCGACAGACTGGGGCATGCAGGAAAACAGCATCTGGCCTGCATCCAGACTGTCACAGGGGCCAGAGCGGCCTGGAGCAAGAACTCAGGAAAACAAAAACAACAGTACGACACTTGAACATACATTTTTTGCGCCCTCCTCGTAGAGGCCGCGCATTCGCTCGTAAGGCGATGTAGATTTCGCAGTCTTGGGGGTGAATAACTTTCGGATAAAGGGCATCGTGGACGGCGCGAGGAAGGTTAAAGTGCGCCCTCTACTGGGCGCGGTACAGTGTGGAAAATAATGCGTTCCGAACGCGTATTCAACGAGCGTGCTGGCTACGCTTGAGAGATTCCCGCGAGGAAGACTGAGCCATTGGCGGTTCAGCGGTCTGAGGGCAGGGGGGTGGTGGAGGAGAAGGAGGAGGAAGAGGAGGAAGAGGATGAGGGAGAGGAAGATGATAAGGAGAGTTGACGAGGAATTGCAGCAGGACGAATAAGAGGAGGAGGAGGAGGAGCAGGAGCAGGAGCAGGAGGAGGAGGAGGAGAAGGAGGAGGAGGAGGAGGAGGAGGAGGAGGAGGAGGAGGGAGGAATCTCACCAACCCTGTGGGCGTTTGTGGTTCAGAAGCCCTTCTTTCAACCCGCTTCTTCCTGATCGGGGAGGGGGTTCCCCCTCCCCCTCCCTCACTCTGGAAGACTTCCAGCCCCGCCTAGCGAAGCTTCCTAGGGCCCTCTTGGGGGCCGCTTGGGGGCCTCTCGGAGCCTCTGGGGGCCTCTCGGGAGGCCTCTTGCGGCCTCCAGGGTGTGCCCGGCGCCGTTCTTGATGCCAGCCATGCTTTTCCTTGTCGGTCTTTTCAAACTTCGGAGCGGCGTGAGGCCTCTTTTGGAGCTGTCTTGGGCCGCTCCTGAATCCGCCTTGGGGCTCTGCTGGAGCCCTCTTGAGGCCATCTCGAGACGTCGGGAGCCTCGCCACAACAAGGGGCAAGAGAGCAAACGTCACAGACTTCCCATAGCTGCCGGGAGGTTTTGGCTTCTCGGGGGCTCCCTCTGGGCGTCGTGGGGCCATCCTGGGCAGAGCTGCGGGATATCGTGAGCGCTTTTTTTATCCGGCGTTTCGACACTGGGCGGAAGGGGGAGGGGGGGAGGGGGGTCTGGCTCCGGACCTCTGCTTAGTGCGACTGTTTGCGACAGTGCGTCCTATGGGGGAGAGGCTCCACCTGCCTGAAACAGGTGCCAACAAAAAGTCCAAGATCTACTCCATAGGGGGGGGAGGGGGGCGGGGTGCGAGGGCCCGCGCGGATCGGCAAAAAAACGAATAAGAAAACGATCACCTGCGGGCTATCGCGTGTCTTGTTTCGTCTGATCTCGTCTCGTCTGCTTGTCTTTGGCCATCTTGCGGGCGTCCGGGACAGACGGGCACGCCTCGCCCGGCGCTGGCTGGAGGGGCTCGCCCGCCGTGTCAGGGGAAGCCCGCGCCGGAAGACATGCCCCCCTCGCCTGGCCACGTGACGACTTGTCCTCTTCGGGCCACCTGGGGAGGAGGAGGAGGAGGAGGAGGAGGAGGAGGAGGAAGGAGGAGGAGGAGGAGGAGGAAGGACGAGGAGGAGGAGGGGTCTCTTGGCGGGGGCCTTCTGGGGCCACGTGGGCGCGTTTCGGGGGCCACCTGGTGGCGCTTTGGGGCCTGTTGGGCACAATGGGGGCGGTCTGGGGGCGTCTTGGGGCTGATCCTCTTGGCGACCTCCAGAGCCGTTTTGGGTATCTCGTGGGCCCTTCTAGAGCCTTTCTTGGGCAATATTGAAGCCTCAGGAGCCCATAGGAAGGGAGGGAAAAACACACATCGTGCATTTTATTGTATTTTGGAATGAGATTTTGACCCGTCGGGGCACCCTTCGCATGCTCCGTGGCCACTCGGATGCCTCGTGGAAGCATGACATCTTGAATAATCTCGGGCTAGCTTGTGCCATCTTGGAATATATCTTGGAAGCCGTCGCACCTTGTCTTGCCTCGCCGAGGCCAAGACGTAGGCGCGACACGCTGGTCCCGTGGCCGCGCGGGGGCTGGACGGGGGCTCGTCCGCCGTGTTAGGGGAAGACCCTGCCCTAGGGTTGGGCCACGGTTTCGCGAGGTGTTTGAGCGTCCAAGGTGGCCTCGGGTAGCCCAACATGGCCTCCAAGGTGGCACAAGATCTCCCAACGATGGCTTCCAGCATACCTCCAGGAGGTCCCAAGAAGAGCCGAAGACTGCTCCGAGTGGCGCGACGGAGATCTCTGAGGATGGCCATGAGAGGCCAACCTCCTTCAACCAACAGCGCTTTTCAATAATGTTTGCCTATTGCCTCTTCCGAACTTTCGAGGCTTCAAGATGGCTCCAAGGTTGCTCTGGGGGGAGGAGGAGGAGGAGGAGGAGGAGGAGGAGGAGGAGGAGGAGGAGGAGGAGGAGGAGGAGGGAGGAGGAGGAGGAGGAGGAAGGAGAGGAGGAGGAGGAGGAGAGAGTGGGAGAGAAGAAGGAGGAAGAGGAGCGGGAAGGAGGAGGAAGAGGAGCAGGCGGAGGGGGAGGAGGTGGAAGAGGAGGAGGGGGAGGAGTAGGAGTAGGAGTAGGAGTAGGAGTAGGAGTAGGAGTAGGAGTAGGAGTAGGAGTAGGACGAGGAGGAGGGGGAGGAGGGGGAGGAGGAGGAGGAGGAGGAGGAGGAGGAAGAGGAGGATGAGGAGGAGGAGGAGGCGGAGGAGGAGGAGGGGGAGGAGGAGGACCAGAGTAAGCCCAAGAGGGGGCCCTGACGTGGAGTGCTCACTCGTGGCCTCCAGGACGGGACCAAGACGGCCCCCCGAGTGCTCCAAAGTCTTCCAGAGTGGCTCCCAAGAGAGCTCCAAGATGGCTCCGAGAGGCCTCTCAGAGGTTCCCAGAAGTCTCCGAGCCCATCGCTTCTGATCTCTCTGCCAAAAAAACTATGTCCATGTGCTTATCTACGTCCCTCTCAACACCCCTCCTGGGCATCGCTCGTCTAGGTCACCTCATTTCGCGCCTAGCGCCCCACGATTCTCTTCGCGCCCTCGCGCTGCACCTTTGGAATAGGGTCAACGGGTCACCTGGCCCAGACCGCGGCGCGCGAAGCGCAATAATCTTCGCGCCCCCGCGGTCTTGTGATTCACCTTCGGCAGATTCAAGCCTCGAAAACCAATCGAAACGGCATTTCAAATCTCACCCTCTGCCCTCCACCCAAGGAAAATGCTCGGTCTTTGTGCCGTGACTCGAGCGGGCCTCCAGCGGCTGCTCGGGGACGACTCGGGCACCTGCAGAACGCCCTTGGCGAGGCGCGCCGCTGCTGCGAGGCACGCCGAGGCCGGGAAGCCGCCGAGAGCGCCCCCGAATGTTCGTGGACGGGCTGGTGGGGGTTGCGCGGTCCAGCGGAGCGTCACGAATGTCATCCGTCAGGCCCCTCCTTTCCTCCTCCTTCTCCTCCTCCTCCTCTTCTTCCTCCACTTCTTCCTCCTCCTCCTCCTCCTCCTCCTCCTCCTCCTCCTCCTCTTCCTCCTCCTCCTCCTCCTTCCTCCATCCTCCTCCCCTCTCCTCCTCCTCTCTCCTCCTCTTCTCCCTCCTCCCTCTTCTTCCTCACTCTTCCTCTCTCCTCCTTCCTCCTTCCTTCTCCTTCCATCCTCCCTCCTCTCATTCCCTCCGATCTTCCTCCCCTCTCCTCCTCCTCCTCCTCCTCCTCCTCTCCTCTTCTTCCTCCCCTTCTCTTCTTCCTCCTCCTCCTCCTCTTCCCTCCTGCTCCTCCTCCCCTCCTCCTCCTTTCTCCTCCTACCTCCTCCCTCTCCTCCTCTCCTCCTCCTTCCTCCTTCTCCTCCACCTCCTCCTCCTCCTCCTCCTCCTCCTCCTCCTCCTCCTCCTCAGGACGCCCCCCCCTGGTTCCTGAGGGATGCCACGCCTCCGTCCTCGAAGACCCACCCGCCCCGGAGAGCCACGCTCGGCTGTGCGATTCGGGTGCGGTGCAGTGCGGAGCACTTCGAGGCAGGGCGGCGCGATGCAGCGCGGTGCGTCGCAGCCCAGCACGAACACAGAGCAGAGCAGGGCGGTGCAGCGCAAAGCAACAAGCACACAGCAAGGCAGCTCAGCCATAAACAATGAAGTAATACGAATCAGTCCACTGCGAAGAAGTACATCACAAAGCAGGCCAACGGACTTACATCCAAAGCAGCGCAGTGACGACATAACAGCGCAATGCATCATTGAGCAAATGACGCACATAAATGCGAGACAGTGCACTTCAAAGTTACGTAGACCCAACCAACGCTGTCACCTTCGACAGCCCGTTCCCTCTGCGTTTAGCCTGCTCTCGCTGCACTGTGTCAGCTGTCAACTTCAACTCCTCTGCAACCTGGTGCTCAGCCTTTCCTTAGCTCGCATTCACTTGTTACCTACGGTGGAGGTTTTAGATAAGGATACCTTCGATAAGGAACCCAGGGTCTCGCGAAACGTGGGCCACCCACCTCGCCTTGAAACACGAAGGAATGCGCCAGGGTCTGGGCCCCAGGAAGACGTTCCTTATCCAATGCCGCCGCCGTAAGCCTCATGATCCATACCAGTCGCGTTGGGCAGCTGCTTTTTTGGGCCGGCGCTGACGAGAGCGAACCAGCTCCCCGAGCAGATCCTCGGTGGGAGTGGCCCGCCCGCTACCGGCGGGGCCGTCAGTGCCTACGCGCCGCGGACGGCAAGGTCTTCCCAGAACCTAAGGTCCGAAGGAAATCTACCAGTGTCCTTCCCCGCATCCCTGCCCCTACCGGTAGAGGGAAACAATTAGTGAACACCCCCCCCCGCCCCCCAAACTCAAAGTCGGCACGCGCGGGGGAGACTGCGGTCCAGGTGCATCTCATCAGACCCAGGGCCAACATAGAACATTGAAGGGAGGGGGGGCGTTGACAGATGAATGTGGCATGAATGTTTGCTTTTTTTGTTGTTTTTTTTTTTTTTTTTTTCTCCGAGGACCCACACCCGTCGGAAGAACGAAACTGACCACCTGCAGGCGGCCGGGGGGCCTGCGCTGGGTGGGCCCCGAGAGCGTCGGTCAAGGGAGGAGGATGACGGCAAGTCTCGTGCACGTCGGTCCCTGGACCGCTCCCAGGGAGCACGCCCTAGTTTTGCGAGCCGCGTCCCGCCGTTGCGACGAGATGCCTCCAGGAGATCAAACAGACACATACAAGAACACGAGGGAGCTCCGTTCCCCTCCCCTTCCCGCTCCCCTACCCCCTCCTCCTCCTCCTCCTCCTCCTCCTCCTCCTCCTCCTCCTCCTCCTCCTCCTCCTCCTCCTCCTCCTCCTCCTCTAGGGGGCGAAGCATCGACCTGGGCCACCTCAGACCCCCAGCCGACTCCAACCGATCACCACCACCACCACGCCTCCGCAGCGCGTTTCAGGCCTGGAGCCTGGTGGGCATCGACTCCCAGCGAGGTCAGAGAGCCACAGCCACCAGGGTCAAGGCCCCAACATCTGCTCGCAGAGGCTTTGTGGTTGTTAGCTTCCTGCTCGTACTTCTTCGTATGAGCGCTAAGGGCGTTTTTTTGGGTTGATGCATGGTTTCTGTGTTCCAAAACGCATTGAACACGGGCAGGTGGGCCACGGCCGATCCTGGATCTCGAAGGCGTGACAGGAACGGCGGCCCAAGCAGCAAACGTCATCGATATTGAACGCGGAGCCAAACAGCCCCGAGTACTTTAAAGATAAAATTAATTTCTGGGCCCCGAGAGAATGAGTCAAAAGGGGACGAAGACAAATCCGTTCAGAATGGGGCTCCGCACCCCTCCCGAAGTCGAAACTGACCGGTGTTTCGAGCCGCGTCCAGCCGTGGAAGAGGGGCCCCCTTTTTCCCCCTTTCTGCTGACCAGAACCAGTGCTGGGCCACCTCAGCCCCCCAGCGGGCTCCAAGTCTACGGTCAGGAACTTTTGCTTGGCGTGCCGCGGCGGCGGCCCTGGAAACACGCTGTGCCTTGCAAGGTGATGGCGTGCCGCTCCGCTCCGCGGGGCGGAAGGCTGGGAAAAGCTCGGGGCGCTGACGCGTGGGGACTTGCAGGCGGATGACGTGTCGCGCCGCGGGCCAGAGCCAGAGGAGCGACACGCTGAGCCAAAGTTCCCGACCGTCGGTTCCCCTCCCCCCCCCGCACGTGCCTTTTGGCCGCTGCTTATGGCTGCCATGCTGCTCGCCCCGCGAGGCGCCCCCGCCCGCAGGTGGCTCCTTCGGAGCGCCCGCTCTTACGGGGGGTCTGCTCGCCGCTCGTGCGCCCGCTCGCCTCTTGTCTCACCCCGCCACCCTCGCCTCCTCGGCAGGGCGCCCCCCGGCGTCGCCTTCGCCACTGGCTCCGCATGGGGCCCAAGAAGGCATCACACGGGCTTCGCCTCCGCGGCGGCTGCTGCCAAACCTACTTCCAACTTTGCCTCCCCCACAGCTGCCGCCAGAGCCTAGGCTGGCTTCGCCTCCTCGGCTGCTGGTGCGGGAGCCTCCGCTGGCTTCGCCTCCTTCGCTTCTGGCGCGGCAGCCTTTGCTGGCTTCGCCTCCTCGGTAATTGGCGCGGGGGCCTCCGCGGGCTTCGCTTCCTCTGCAGCTGGCGCGGGGGCCTCTGCGGGCTTCGCCTCCTCTGCAGCTGGCGCGGGGGCCTCCGCGGGCTTGGCCTCCTCTGCAGCTGGCGCGGGGCTCTCCGCGGGCTTAGCCTCCTCGGCAGCTGGCGCGGGGGTCTCCACGGGCTTGGCCTCCTCTGCAGCTGGCGCGGGGGCCTCCGCGGGCTTAGCCTCCTCGGCAGCTGGCGCGGGGGCCTCTGCGGGCTTGGCCTCCTCGGCAGCTGGCGCGGCAGCCTCCGCGGGCTTGGCCTCCTCTGCGGCTGGCGCGGGGGCCTCCGCGGGCTTCGCCTCCTCGGCAGCTGGCGCGGGGCTCTCCGCGGGCTTGGCCTCCTCGGCAGCTGGCGCGGGGGCCTCCGCGGGCTTCGCCTCCTCTGCAGCTGGCGCGGGGGTCTCCGCGGGCTTGGCCTCCTCGGCAGCTGGAGCGGGGGCTTCCGCGGGCTTGGCCTCCTCGGCAGCTGGCGCGGCAGCGTCCGCGGGCTTCGCCTCCTCTGCAGCTGGCGCGGGGGCTTCCGCGGGCTTCGCCTCCTCCGTGGTCGCCGGCGGTGCGGCCTCCTCGGCAGCTGGCGCGGGGGCCTCTGTGGGCTTGGCCTCCTCGGCAGCTGGCGAAGGGGCCTCCGCGGGCTTCGCCTCTTCTGCAGCTGGCGCGGGGGCCTCCGCGGGCTTCGCCTCTTCTGCAGCTGGCGCGGGGGCCTCCGCGGGCTTCGCCTCTTCTGCAGCTGGCGCGGCAGCCTCCGCGGGCTTCGCCTCCTCTGCAGCTGGCGCAGGGGCCTCAGCGGGCTTCGCCTCCTCTGCAGCTGGCGCGGGTGCCTCCGCGGGCTTGGCCTCCTCGGCAGCGGGGGCGGTGGCCTCCGCGGGCTTCGCCTCCTCGGCAGCTGGCGCGGGGGTCTCCGCGGGCTTGGCCTCCTCGGCAGCTGGCGCAGCGGCCTCCGCGGGCTTGGCTTCCTCGGCTGCTGGCGCGGCAGACTCAGCAGGTTTCGCCTCCTCTGCAGCTGGCGCGGCAGCCTCCGCGGGCTTCGCCTCCTCTGCAGCTGGCTCCGCGGTCGCTGCTAGAGCGGCCTCAGTAGGCTTCGCCTCCTCGGCAGCTGGCGCGGGGGCCTCGGCGGGCTTCGCCTCCTCTGCAGCTGGCGCAGGGGCCTCTGCGGACTTGGCCTCCTCTGCAGCTGGCGCGGGGGCCTCCGCGGGCTTCGCCTCCTCGGCAGCTGGCGCGGCAGCCTCAGCTGGCTTCGCCTCCTCGGCAGCTGGCGAGGCAGCCTCAGTCGGCTTCGCCTCCTCTGCAGCTGGCGCGGGGGCCTCCGCGGGCTTCTCCACTTCTGCAGCTGGTGCGGGGGCCTCCTCTGCGGGCTTCGCCTCCTCCGTGGTCGCCGCCGGTGCGGCCTTCTCGGCTGCTGGCGCGGGTGCCTCCGCGGGCTTCGCCTCCTCGGCAACTGGCGCGGGGGCCTCCGCGGGCTTCGCCTCCTCGGCAGCTGGCGCGGGGGCCTCCTCAGTGGTCGCTGCCGGTGTCGCTTCTGGCTTCGCCTCCTCTGCAGCTGGCGCTGGCGCGGGGGCCTCCGCGGGCTTGGCCTCCTCGGCAGCTGGCGCGGCACCCTCAGCGGGCTTCGCCTCCTCTGCAGCTGGCGCGGGGGCCTCTGCGGGCTTCGCCTCCTCGGCAGCTGGCGCGGGGGCCTCTGTGGGCTTGGCCTCCTCGGCAGCTGGCGCGGGGGCCTCCGCGGGCTTGACCTCCCCTGCAGCTGGCGCGGCAGCCTCCGCGGGCTTCGCCTCCTCTGCAGCTGGCGCGGCAGCCTCCGCGGGCTTTGCCTCCTCTGCAGCTGGCGCAGGGGCCTCAGCGGGCTTCGCCTCCTCTGCAGCTGGCGCGGGGGCCTCCGCGGGCTTCGCCTCTCGCAGCTGGCGCGGGGCTCCACGGGTTGGCCTCATCTGCAGCTGGCGCGGGGGCCTCAGCTGGCTTGGCCTCCTCTGCAGCTGGCGCGGGGGCCTCCGCGGGCTTCGCCTCCTCGGCAGCTGGCGCGGAGGCCTCCGCGGGCTTCGCCTCCTCGGCAGGTGGCGCAGGGGCCTCTGCGGGCTTGGCCTCCTCGGCAGCTGGCGCGGGGGCCTCCGCGGGCTTGGCCTCCTCTGCAGCTGGCGCGGGGGCCTCCGCCTCCTCGGCAGCTGGCGCGGGGGCCTCCGCGGGCTTCGCCTCCTCGGCAACTGGCGCGGGGGCCTCCGCGGGCTTCTCCACTTCTGCAGCTGGTGCGGCAACCTCCGCGGGTTTGGCTTCCTCGGCAGCTGGCGCGGCACCCTCCGCGGGCTTCGCCTCCTCGGCAGCTGGCGCGGGGGCCTCCGCGGGCTTCGCATCCTCTGCAGCTGGCGCGGGGGCCTCTGTGGGCTTGGCCTCCTCTGCAGCTGCTGTGGGGGCCTCCGCGGGCTTCGCCTCCTCTGCAGCTGGCGCGGGGGCCTCCGCGGGCTTCGCCTCCTCGGCAGCTGGCACGGGGGCCTCCGCGGGCTTCGCCTCCTCGGCAGCTGGCGCGGGGGCCTCCACGGGCTTGGCCTCCTCGGCAACTGGCGCGGGGGCCTCCGCGGGCTTGGCCTCCTCTGCAGCTGGCGCGGGGGCCTCCACGGGCTTCGCCTCCTCGGCAGCTGGCGCGGCACCCTCCGCGGGCTTCGCCTCCTCTGGAGCTGGCACGGGGGCCTCCGCGGGCTTCGCCTCCTCTGCAGCTGGCGCGGGGGCCTCCGCGGGCTTCGCCTCCTCTGCAGCTGGCGCGGGGGCCTCCGCGGGCTTGGCCTCCTCGGCAGCTGGCGCGGGGGCCTCCGCGGGCTTCGCCTCCTCGGCAGCTGGCGCGGGGGCCTCCGCGGGCTTCGCCTCCTCTGCAGCTGGCGTGGGGGCCTCCGCGGGCTTCGCCTCCTCTGCAGCTGGCGCGGGGGCCTCTGCTGGCTTGGCCTCCTCGGCAGCTGGCGCGGGGGCCTCCGCGGGCTTTGCCTCCTCGGCAGCTGGCGCGGGGGCCTCCGCGGGCTTCGCCTCCTCGGCAACTGGCGCGGGGGCCTCCGCGGGCTTCGCCTCCTCTGCAGCTGGCGCGGGGGCCTCAGCTGGCTTGGCCTCCTCGGCAGACGGCGCGGGGGCCTCCGCGGGCTTCGCCTCCGCGGGCGCGACAGGTGCCACCTCAGGCTTCACCTCCTCGGCAGCTGGCGCTGGGGCCTCCGCGGATTGTGCCTTCTCTGCTGGCGCGGGAACGGCAGGAGGAGGAGGAGGAGGAGGAGCAGATGCGTCGTAGCCGCCCATGAAGTGACGTGCCATGTAGCCGAACGGGTCCTCGGGCTTCTCCTTGATCACCGTCTGCAGCACGCCCTGCACAAACTGCAAAACCTGGTGCTGCTCCAAGTAGTCCTTGGCGGCCTTCGCCCCGTTGGCAGCGTCCTTCGGATCCTCGACCTCCTTGTCGGCGCCGGCGGCAACGGCCGCGGCACCGTCGAGCTTCATCACCTTGACCTCCAGCTCCATTCCGGCGGGGTCCTTGGGGAAGAGCACCTTGTACTGGTCCGTCCCAGGCTTGAGGACCAGGTAGGCGGAGCCCACCTGCTTGAGAATGTCGATCTTGAGAGGCACGGCGGCCTCTTCCGCGGACTTCGGGAAGCGGAAAGGCCGCCCACTGTTGCAAGCCGCCTGCCGGCGCACGGTTCCTGCGCGTATGGAGAGGATGGCGTCCTCGGGCAAGTTGTTGTGCTTCAGAAGCGCGACCTCCATTTTGCCTAAGTGCGAGGTTGCTGGCGTGCCCGCGGCCTGGCGCCGGGAAGCTCTGTCTTGAACAGGGTGCTTTGGTAGCCAGGGCCAGAACGACTCGAGCCCGAGTGGCCGTATCATAGGTGAGGCGAAAGAGAAGCCCGGAGGCACCGAGAGTTCCCTGCCAGCAGGCCCCATGACGCCCTGCTTTCGCTCACGCCTTTCCCCTGGAAGGTGGAGGGAAGAGGTGTGGAGATGGATGAGGGCCAGAGTAAACCGATGGTGCAACAACAATGCTGTGAGACAACCTCCCGCCCAAAGGCTCCTCCTGATCAGTCCCTAGAAGTATTCGTTTTCACAACGGGGAGCGCCCCCCCTTGAAAGAAAAGCGCCTCACGGGCCTGCAATTCAAGCGAGAACGTCGTTTGACAAATGATCCGCCCCTCACTGAGTTTCAGGAGGAGGAGGAGGAGTAGGAGGAGGAAGAGGAAGAGGAAGAGGGAGAGGAAGAGGAAAAGGAAGAGGAAGATGATGATGATGACGATGATGACGATGATGATGATGATGATGATGATGATGACGATGATGATGACGACGATGATGATGATGATGCTGATGCTGATGCTGCTGATGATGATGATGATGCTGACGCTGATGCGGATGCTGATGCTGCTGATGATGATGATGATGATGATGGTGATGATGATGATGATGATGATGATGATGATGATGATGATGATGATGATGATGATGATGATGATGAGAAGGAGAAGGAGGAGGAGAAGGAGGAGGAGGAGGAGGAGGAGGAAGAGGAAGAGGAAGGGAGGAGATGGAGGCGGAGGAGGAGGCGGAGGAGGAGGAGGAGGAGGAGGAGGAGGAGGAGGAGGAGGAGGAGGAGGAATTGCAAAGGGGTGCGACCATCGAACAGGAGGACGTGTGAAGTGATAGCCCCGTGGACCCTCCTGGACCGTCTTGGGGGGCCAGACTCGTCTTTTTCCCAACCCTCCTGCGTTGGGTACTCGTTTTGAATAGAGCACTGCGGTCTCCACCTTCCTTCCTTCCTTCCCGCCTCCTCCTCTTGGGGGGGCTGCGATCTGTGGAACTGTCGCCACTTTCGGGGGCTGCTGGGGTGCCCAGCGGAGTGACGCCCTACGGGGACTCAGATTAGACCTCGCCATCCCTGGTGGGGCTGCGATCTGTGAAACTGTCACCACTTTCGAGGGCTGCTGGGGGGGCCCAGCGGAGTGACGCCCTACGGGGACTCAGATTAGACCTCGCCATCCCTGGGGGGCTGCGATCTGTGAAACTGTCGCCACTTTCGAGGGCTGCTGGGGTGCCTAGCGGAGTGGCGCCCTACGGGGACTCAGATTAGACCTCGCCATCTCTGGGGGGCTGCGATCTGTGAAACTGTCGCCACTTTCGAGGGCTGCTGGGGGGCCCAGCGGAGTGACGCCCTACGGGGACTCAGATAGACCTCGCCATCCCTGGGGGGGGGCGGCGATCTGTGAAACTGTCGCCAGTTTCGAGGGTTGCTGGGGTGGCCAGCGGAGTGGCGCCCCACGGGGACTCAGATTAGACCTCGCCGTCTCTGGGGGGCTGCGATCTGTGAAACTGTCGCCAGTTTCGAGGGTTGTTGGGGTGGCCAGCGGAGTGACGCCCCACGGGGACTTAGATTAGACCTCGCCATCTCTGGGGGGCTGCGATCTGTGAAACTGTCGCCA